ATCAACCCACACGACTTTCATCCAACCAGCTCAATTCTCTATTTTCAGGCAACAATTTAGAAATTGAGATATTCGAGAGAGCAACCATGTTAACGTTTAGAAATTTAGATGACTTAAAATTGTAGAAGTTATTCGGTGATTATGAGAAAATGGTAAGTTGAAAAAAGGGCAAAAATTAGAATTTAATTTCAACCCTTTCATCGAGGTAAAATAATTTTTTTAAAAAAATTAGATTAAAAAATATAAATATGAATTTAACAATACGTAAATAAAATAAATTTATAATATATTAAAAATAAACTTGTAATGTTTGCTCGTTAGTAAATGAGACTCGATGTTATTATTGACACAGATTAATTTTAATAGAAAACGTTTATATTTTAATATGAGTTTAAAAAAAATCATAATTTTCATATATTTACAATAAAGTAACGTAACTAACGTAAAAGTAAATACAACCTTAAACAAGTTCAAAACCGGAAACATAAAGTTTTAACTCAAATAAACACAGGTTCGAACAGGACTCTAATGCCTCCAATTTGTTTACACTGTCCTCCCAGTCATATCCTAAATCTTATTTATCTGAAAAGAATATTAAATATAATTTTGTTGGGTAATTAATTTACTAAGTTAGTAGTTAATTAATTATATGTATCTAGAATTTGCACTCTAAACCAGGTTCTCAATCCAATCATCTATTCATTTTATAAGGTTCTCAATCCAATCATCTATTCATTTTATAAGCTTGGATCGTGTATCTTGCTTTTGGCTCGAGTTAAATTGCTACCAATGAATGATATCCTTCTAAAGGTGTGCATTTTCTGCTTCCAACCAAGTGTCGGCATTTTTTTTAGGAGTCGTTATCGATCACAGGATATTTTGACTAACATTTTCCTATTTTCTATATTTATGCTTATTATGATGCGTGACTTAGTCCTTATTTCAAATTTCAAACACACTAGTTTTAGGTCTAATTCCTATCTAAAATTTAATACCTAGTTTCAAACAGGAAGGCAAAATATAGCAACTATTTAATAGAAATTTTATTTTATATTAATTTATGCTTATTTAATTATCTTTCAATAATTGAATTAAATTTCTTATTGTCAATGTTAGTAATTTAATGTAAAAACATTTACTTATTTTTATTTGAACTGATTAATTAATTAAGCTATAGATTAAATAATACTAAGTTTAATTTATGATTACATTAATTTATTTTCTTACTAATTAATTAATTAATTAAAATTTTATCAATAAAAGTTATAAAACATATACTATTATAGCAAAGACATAAATTTAAATTAATTAAACATATTAAACAATTATTAATATTATATTAACATTTTAAATGTAATTATTTAATTATGATTTATTTTGGTAAAACAAATACAAATAATAATGTTTAATATATAATACACGCCAGAAATTAATTAATTTATACCCATGACATAATAGATAAAATCTATGATTCAAACAAACCCATAAACATGATTTTCATTTATGCTTCTTCTATGGCAACAATTATATGACTCCAAGATTTAAAAAAAAAAACTAATTTTTTGAGTTCTAAAAAATTCAAATCTCTAAAATTTTGATCGAGCCTATTTGCCCTAACGCTCGGCTTGATCCTTCGTTTTCTAAAATTTTGGTATAGATCTACAATGCCCCTTCTAGGGTGGAAAAACCACTTCGTTTTACCATTAGTATTCTATCCTATCCAATCCACGAAGAACCTCAATAAATTCCCATTTGGAGTATCATCCTAACAAACCTACCTCTTATATATATATATATATATATTCTGCTTCTATTTTATAGTACAAAAGGTTACCGTTCAATCAAATATATGAATTGGTCTATCATGAGTAAACTAAATGATAAGGAATACCTAGTCAGTTGAATCTAAAAACCCTCGTACACTAAATGATAAGGAATACCTATTTAAAACCCCTCGTAAGAGCTTGGATATGTCAACTCCTACTTCACAAATGCTAAAAACCCAAAAATCAATTTGATTTCACTCCAAGGGAAAATAAAATTCGAATTACCGTGTTGATCAAATATCTCAAGTCAAGAACACTTGTTTGAGATTAGATTCACTCCACGAGCAAATGTCAAGCTTGAATGATTCTAAATATGCAATATAAACCACATAAAATTGTAGAGAAGAAATCATAAAAGCTATTTTTACTGCATTTTCCAAGTCTACATCACAAACACAACATACATGCATTTTCCAAGTCTACATCACAAACACAACATACATGACTTTATATAACCACAAAATGAAAATTCTTGATATTCCATGAGGCATTTCATGAATGGTAACCTTCGTACTTTATGACCATAATTAACCACTAACCTTAAATACAATAAAGAAACACCATAACTCTACCCAAAATTTGTAAACATTTAAGAATAAATGAAGTTTGATTCTTATTTAATGTGACATGAATGGCCCCACATAGTGTGATAATTTGAACAACATTTTCTTCGCATCTTCCTTGAAGTTTATCTTACATGATTAATGTCTTGGTTCATATCACTAAATGCATGCAACAGAGACAACACACTTCAGTTTAACCCGAAAAGGCTGAGGCGAATGAGATTTATAAATGTAAGCTTGATAAGCTTTACAACACAAGCACCATGAAAATCATGCATAGCTTAGCTTGTCTCAATATTGTTCATAGTCTACAACCTAACAAATAAAATTCCAGATATGATTACTAACAGAGAAACGCCAACAAAATGACTCTCATTGTCTAACCTTCTAGAGGAGAAGTGCCCAAACGACTATTTTCAGCCTTCAATGCATGTATAACAGAAACAAAGGAAGGTCATAAATTATGTAACTAAAGAAGCAAATATATAAGTTCTTTACCAGCCATGTCCTCTTCAACCTTTTGCTGGATCAAGTTTTGAGTTCGAACGTCATTTAGTATGGAAATGAAGCTGTTTCTTACATAGCAAAGCTTCGGCATTTCTTTTCCTGGGTCGGGAAAGCGGATAGTCCCATCTTTCCAAATCTCTGTCACCACAAACCATTTCTTTCCTCTATAGCTCATGTCTTAATCGCATAAACTATAAAGCATTGCTTTGCATGGGACAATGTTGATCCCTCGAATGGAGTTAACAGCCAATAAAACTGCAAGCAAAACAAAAGATATCACTCAATCCGTCTAAATCGCAATCAAATCAATTGCTCCCTAATTTCCCAATACTTTAAGTTCCTCCAAGACAAGTGATGAACGAAACTAATGAAGGAATAACTAGGAAAAGGGTAAACTCACATTTCGCATATATACGCATAGGAGGCTTGATTTTTGTCCCTCTCTTTTGGCAACTAGCGAAGGGAGGATCCACTTATCAGACTCCATTAATCTGAATCTGAATCCTCTGCCTGCGAGTTCTCGTCCTCTAAGCATTCATCATCACCCGTCTCATCTGATTCAACATCCAAACCATTCTCCACCGTCTCCTCGGCTGTATTATTAAGCAGAATGCCCTCCTTTTCTATCAATGCAGCACCTTTCCCCCGGTAAAACAGACCAGTCTTCATGACATGATAAAACTTTTCCCTTAGACGTGTCAGAGGATGTGGGTTCACTAGCTTTCCTCGCTGATACCCTTCCCTAAGAGAAACAGTCGTGGTCTTACACTTCAAAGACAGATAGAAGATTCCGGGATAACGGGTGAAGATTCGAGTGAACTTATGGGGAAGATTCAATTCCTCTCTCAAGCTTCTCAAGTAGTTTCTTTTAGTTTTCTTGTGAAGAGTGAGACTCAAAAGCTCATGAAGAACCCCAACAACTCGTTTCTCCATGAGATCACTGTTGGGGTCAATTTGCCTGCAACTCTCATATGGAGAAATGTAAGGTAACTTCTGAAACTCTTCCATCCAAGCTTTTACCTTCTTTTGTGCCCCATATCCCCTCGGAAAACTCATAGGAAAGGCCAATGTGGTACGCCCCCTCTTGAATTGCCTATACGCATCTCCCAGTTCAGAGCTCTCATTGCTCCTTTGCAAGGCTGAAACTGCAAATTCCTCGCGCCATTCCATAAGCCGCAGACACCAATCCCCATTCGAGGCCTTCACTAATCGAAAATGATCCGGATACTTGGGAATCAAGGACCTCTCAAAACCACATGGAAGACCTAGATCCCATTCTAAAGGACGCAACGACTGAAGAGGAATAGCCCTATTTTTCATCATCATAAGCACTCTACAAAGCCTTTCGACAGTGTCGCTCTCATGAATTTGGTGAATACTACTCTGTTGCTGATCTAAAAGCAGCGCGGTATCCGTCAAACGAAAGCAAGGCAAATTAGCGTAACGAGAATGAGGAAATTCGTGAAAGAGAGTTGGATACCTCCGGATGAATCGAAGAACAGGGATGGTGAGGCCGAGCAGCTTTGGGCAATCGGCGATGGATTTAGCAGTAATGAAGCCAGTGGAAGAGCGGTTAATGGCGTCCTTGAGGAGGGAAGCGGCCTTCAAATCGGTCTCCGTGTCGATGATGTGATCGAGACTCCGATTCTTGACCCATTTGAGGCGAACCTTCGCAATTCGACGGCATTGAAGGTGCAGAAAAGGATTAGGGCTCAGGTAAGGCGACGGAAGAATTAGGGTTGAAAAGAAGAAGCTCTTCATTTCGAAATCCGGAATTTGCGAACGAATGCTCGAGCTCGACAGAGAAGCTCTTCGTTTTAAATGGTTTATTTTAATTTTATTTAATTTCATAATTATTGGTAGAATAATACTTTAAAATATATATTAAAATTAAATTAAAGGTTTAAAATAATAAATAAATAAATGTTTAATTTATTAATATTTTATTTTTGTTAAAACGAAAAGTCGAATAAATAATGAAAATAAATAGATGTTTCAAATTTAATTTTTGTTTTTTTTTTTAATTGAAAAAAGAAAAGTGGTGACCGGTGGAGCAGGTGGGCGGGAAATAGAGGCGGAGACATTTTCCATAAACACCACAGCCATGGAAGCAGCTTGGAAGTGGAAGAAATTTTCCATAAACACCACAGCCATGGAAGCAGTTTGGAAGTGGAAGAAATTTATTTTCCAAATCGGTAACCCAACGGTCAATTCCAAATATTTTCCAAAACTAAACCCATCTTCTTCCCTTATAAAATCAATCCCAAACTCTGTTCCTCACCGCCATCCGCCATCCGCCATGTCTGACCCCAACACTCTGTCTCTCCAGTATTGCATCCACACCCACCCCCGCAACACCACCGGCGTAGCCACCGACGCCCAACCCATGCAATACGCCGAGCTCCGATTAGCCTATTCCAACCAATTCGTCTCTCGATCCTCCAACCAACTCCTCCAACAAACCCCCCAAACCCTAATCTCCGATGCTCTCTTACCTCTGTTTCTCCGAGACCTTCAACACCCGCCGTTCCTTTCCCACTTCTTGGTCCTTCAATTTCTCTCTACCTTCAACATCTCCACCGCCTCCTCCCACGCCATTTTCGATGACATCGCCACATTCGCCCTCGAATTGGCCGCCGGCGACCTCGATCGGAACTTCCACATTATCGTCTATCTCGATTTAGTCCAAACGATCTGGGTGGACCTGGACCTGGACCTGGACCTGGAAATGCCTCCGAAACAAGAACCGGCGCCGGCGTCGGTGATGGAGAGGCTGATGAGGGAGGAATTTGATGGGTTTCGGCCGGAGGAGGCGAGAGATTGCAGCGTTTGTTGCGATGAGCTCGGTGGTGAAACGGAGGTGAGGCGACTCCCCTGCGGTCACGTCTTCCATAAATCCTGTATTCTCAAGTGGCTTCAACTCACTAATTCCTGCCCTTTGTGCAGAGCAAAATTAGAACAATAATCTTTTTTTACTCTATTAATAATCATAATAATAACATTCATTTCTCCATTTTTATCCTTTAATTTTTACCATTAACTTTTCACCATTAAATTTTCACCACTAAGCTCTCTCGAGCCTCCGTCATCGCACCGCCGTGCTTGGCTCGTACAACCACCAACACCCTCTCGATCGAGATCGATCGAGAGTTTCAACGCGCCGTTGTATGCATTTGTCCACTTTTAGCTTTAAATTTTTAGTTTAAAAAAATTAATTTTTACCATAAATTTGTCTAATTATAACGTTAAAACTTAAATAAACATTTTATGAATTATAAAACATAGGAAAGATATGAAATCGATAAAACAATTGAATTTATGAATTTTCTAAAATTTTATTCCATGATTAGTCTTATTTTATTAAAAGTAATGAGTTTATAAAGATTTATTTACGGTTTTCTGCTAAATAAATTTCTGCTTAAATTACTACGTGAACTTAAAAGGTAAAACGGGCAGTAATTTTTTTTCCAATTTTGTAAAATTGAGATACACACTGAAAAGAAAGTCAAGCGTACATTCAAAATTGACATAGAATGGATTTAAAGTACAAAATACTCCTCTAAGTCAACATCGAAAGTAGTTACAAAAGCATTTACAAAACAGCGTGAGTTTCGAAGTAATATTAAAAGCGACATAAAAGGAAAAGACTCAATCTATGGGTCCCTCCTGCAACTGCATGGCTCCGCACGCTCCCACCATCGATAGTGGTCTATGCTCCATCTGTAAAAACAAAGAATAGCAAGAATGAGTATAAAAATACTCAGTAAGCAACCTACTCATAAGCTCTCGTTAGACTTCATCCTTGTGATGGTTTCTTATGCTATGTGCCCATCTACTAACCCTAGCATAAGAAACCAATGTCATGGTATGTAGTCTTTATCAATCCTAAGACTCGTATGTACATAAAACTCTATACACTTCTATTCTAGGGGTGTATGCCTAAATGTAGGGTTTTTGGATATGCTTACTCTATGTTTTTGTTTTCTAAAGTCTATCATCAACCAGAGTCAAATTGCCTTGTGACAAACCCTAGTGTAAGTCTCGTGTGCATGAGGTAAGTGGTGCTTTATAAACACACAAGTAGTCTGACCGTTTGTACCCCATACATATTTGTCTACTGGGTGCTCCCCAATAGTATACCCGATACAAATCTTGGGACGCTCTATGGGTGACAACTCTAGGAAAGTTTAAGATTAGGGGTTACTCTCCGGTTGTCCCTAGTTAATAGTTGTTCAATCGAAAATGTCTGTGAGGCCCAAATGTAGGTTCTATGACTAAGGAGACGTAAAATAGCACGTCATGTTCATTCACATATCCTTCCAAACTCTCTAAGGTACATAGCGGATATCCGAAGCATTAACTGGGCATACCCAATGTCTTAACCCCTGTAACATGCTCCTACGAGTATATCATACATAAATGTCCAAAATGCTCAAAAGAAAATAATTAACAATTACACAAGACATGCTGGAGTCCTAAATATATCATTATGATTAATTAGAGTTCTCAAACATGCTAATGGAAATGTAAAACATATTATTGTGCTAAATCGAAAAACTACTAAGTTATTGGGTTTAGCTATCATAAACCTTGGTTAATTAGGACTGAAATCATGTTTTCTCATCAGTAACCTAATGTTTTAATTGACCCATACAAGTATTACTTGAAAAATAATCCATGCCGCTACTTATTCGAATGTCGACTTCTCGAGCTCAATTCGAGTCTACAAGAATTTTCAAAATTTTCCAAAAGTCTTTAATTAGGTCCTACATTAAGGAAAAATAACAAAACCATAAAATTGGGGCGAAAATCGAGTGAAAATGACCAAACCAGGATAAAAACAGAGATCTAGTTCAGTTGGACCACAACCGGTCCAGTTCGGTCTAGTTTAGCTAAACCGGTCGAGTCAATTCAAGGAAAACTCGTCTTCTACCTTTGTCTAAGCTAGAAGAGTCTCCCTGTGACTCACCATGCCACTACCTCAATATCGATCATTTCCATGTCTGCTTGTAACTCGACCTCTCTGGTAATTAAAGCAAAGGAATGGGTTGCCTGTCCACTTCAGGTGTCTACCACAACATTCATCTTGCTTGGATGATACAAGATCTCTATGTCAATCATTTACCAGCTCCAACTAACACTTTTGTCCCATATTGAGATCCTTCTATGTGAATAGGTATTTTAGGCTTTTGGAGTCGGTAAAAATCTGTGTCCACTTCCCGTACAAGTAATGTCGCTATATGCTTAGAGAAAACCCTATTATTATCCATTCTAAGTCATGGGTCGAGTAGTTCCACTCATATTCCTTCAACTATCTCGAGGGTAGGATATGACCTAATCATTCTGCATCAGGATGCAACCTAGCCCATTCTTTGATGTGTCATTGTAAACCACAAAGTTACTTGAGTCGCTGGGCACTGGAGCACAAGTGTCGTCACTAACCGGTGCTTTAGTTCTCTATTACTTTGCTCGCAAGCCTTGTTCTATGAGAACACCTTTCCTTTTCTTGTTAATTGCATGAGGCGCAACAATCTTAAAGAAGTCCTGAATAAACCCTCGATAATATCCTGTAAATCCCAAGAAGCTTCTCACTTTTGTAGCTAAGATGGGTCGGGCCAGTTCATCATTGCCTCGACCTTGATTGAATCTACTGAGATGTCATGTCCTAACATAATGAGTTTCAATAAGGTCACTTCCTGCAACCAAAATTCGCTTTGAATATTTGGCGTAGAGTAGATACGCATACTGACAACACCCTTCTCAGGTGTATCTCATGCTCTGCATCAGTTCTGGAATATATCAATATGTTGTCGATGAAGACTATCACAAACGTGTCAAAGGAAGTATTTAAACACTATGTTCATCAAGTCCATAACTGCTGTAGAGACATTAGTCAATCCGAATGACATCACAGTAAACTTATAATGGTTGTATTTGCTCCTGAGGGTCGTCTTGGGGATAGATCATCTATGTATAGTATCACGTCCTAATCCACGCCTAGTATCACGTCAAAATCACATATATCTAATACCATCAGCAACACATCTAAGGGTCTTTCTAACACTACTTTATAGGCTTGGACTTACTCATCTACCACTAATATCTCTCTTGACGACGTAGACACAGATAACCTAGATCCTAAAGGCTATAGTCCTAACCGTGCATGCCTTGCAAATGCAGCAAAAATAAACGAGTGTGTGAATCTAGAATCAAATTTGAAATGCATGATATCCAAGCATTAGTAAAGTACATGTCACCAGTGTCAGTATCTTCTACTCTGTCATGCCTCTACTCTGTGTCGAGCCTTCCTAGCTGCTCCGTCCAAACGTTGAGGCCTCGTTGCCTCCTGTGGGGACAATCTGTCTTCCTATGGCCACTCTTGCCACAGTGATAACACACGTCAGTACCAACCCTGCACTGTCCGGAGTGTCTGAGACCACAAGTGGGGCACGTGGGTCTTCCCCTATGAGGTGTGCCAATTCTATCTCTTTGCAATGAGGACTTGTTAGAATGCTTATCAAACTTTCTCTTCTTCTGGTAACTCCCTTCGTCTTCTAACTCATTGGACGCTTTTCGAAGATGAAAGTCCAACATACTGGCAGCATGCAGGGCGCGTTCATAACTCGTGGCCGCTATAGCCGCAACTTTGCCTTGGATCTCACTCCGGAGACCCAAAATAAACTTATATGTCCTCTTTTCTTCAGTGTCTATATACTCTAGAGCAAACCTGGACAATCTGGTGAACTCCAATTCGTACTCTTCCACTGTCATGTTTCCCTGTTTCAGATGCACAAAAGCTTCCCGGTTGTTGTACCAATTTACCGCCGGGTAGTATTTGTGGATGAACGCCCTCTTCATCTCATGCCAACATATTGGCTCCTCATCCTCATCTTCTTTCCTAAGGGTTTGTTGGGCAGTCTTCCACCAGAAGTGAGCTTCGCCCTTAAGCATAAAGGAGGCACATTTTACCTTCTGATCCTCAGGGCAATTCATGTGCTCAAATATAGTTTCTATAGACTCAACCCAAGATTCAACAAGCACGGGGTCTATTGTCTTTCCTTCAAACACTGGCGGGTCATATTTACGAAAGTCTCTCAGATACTTGAACTCCCTAGTCATACTAGTACTATCATCATCTCCCCTTCCCTCTTGATTGGCCGCAGCGGCTTGAATCAATTTTTGGTAGGCTTCCGTGCTCAGCATTACCATGTTAGGGGGTGGAGCTACTACTGGTTCCAACATCGGCAATTGAGGCGCCTGTCTCTGTGCAGAATTCTGGGTAGGGTCAAACTTTGTTGGAGTCTCTGCTAGCCTCGTACCTCTAGCTCTGCTAGTGCTACGTGTTGTAGGTGCCATAGTCTCTACATCATGCAAGAAGTCAAGTTAATAGACATCCAACCCAAATCATTAACCTAAATATGTTCATGTATGAATGACAAGGCATGAAAAATTTTAATCATGAGACGAGATAGGCTTACTACTTACTATTTGCTACCTATACCAAGCCTTGGAGATACCTTCACAAACAAAAAACCCTTTGGAGGAAGATTATTGATGCCAAATCTAGATCCTCCCTTTTGAACACTAAACCGGTATCCTCCACAGCAACAGCAACCAAAGGCCCTTGGGAGGCTATATTAAAGTTCCAAAATCTAATACATAGCCGTGTATGCTACAAGATTGGGGATGATCTCTTGAGTTTCTTTGGTTTGTGCGCTTGTTTAGTCTTTCCTTTTTCTTAATGAAAACTCGGTTTCTTACAAAAACAATAATAAATAAATACGAAAATAAAAACCTTTTTTGGGACGATACTTGGCATGGAGGGGGTGCACATCTCCCATAATCCCCTGATAGATGTTTTTGGAAGATCGAACCAAACGGTATGTTCTCAGTCAGCTCCTTGGTGCACGACCTCGATCAAATTCTAAACGAAACAGCCCCAGAGCTCTATGAAGTAATTTGGAGTGACCATTATCCAAAGAAAGTAAAGCTTTTTCTATGGGATAGGAAGCCAGCCACAAAGCTATTAATACTCATGATAAACCCCATTGGTGTTCTAATGGCAAGCATAGCTCAGAATCACAAGGCCACTTATTGTTATCCAATTGAAGAGGTTTTATGCAACTCTTTTGGGAGGCTTTGCCTATTTCAAATCATCAATAAAATTGTTTACCAACTGACTAACATTAGCCAACGACAGATAGTTTAACAAATTAAAGGGATTAAACTCTTAAAACCTCTCCATCGATAAGCATTAGAATGGCAGGTTCAATGTTTAAAATTTACAGAACGTTATTATCCTTCTTGTATTTCATTTTAATAGCCTACAAGATTGGGCTGGTAAATCAAACAAATATTTAAACGTAAAAGGTAGTTTAAGAATTTATAGGCTGAAGTTTCCACATCCTTATAAAAAAATGTTTCGTTCTCCTCCTCAATCGATGTGAGATCTCAAAATCCACCACCCTTTGAGGTCCAGCATCCTCGTTGGCACTCATTCCCTTCTCCAATCGATGTGGGACCCTCCAATCCACCTCCCTTCGGGGTCCAGCATCCTTGCTGGCACATTGTCTCGTGTCCACCCCCTTTAGATGGGGAGGGCCAGCGTCCTTACTGGCACTCCGCCTCATGTCCACCTCCTTTGAGGCTTAGCCTCCTCGTTAGCACATCACCCAATGTCTGGCTCTGATACCATTTGTAACGGCCCAAGCCCACAGCTAGCAGATATTGTCCTCTTTAGACTTTATTTTTCAGGCTTTCCCTCAAGATTTTCAAAACGCGTTTCCTAGGGAGAGGTTTCCACACTCTTATAAAGAATGTTTCGTTCTACCCCCAACCGACGTGAGATCTCACATTATCTCTAAGTAATGCCCAGAACCAAACTAATTTACCCTAAGAAATTCAAACTGAACCAACATAACCCAAATTAGTTGAGGGCTGAAAATATTTGCAATATGAAACTAAGAGATCTGCATCCAAACAAATTCAAATAGAAGGGAACTGCCCGTGATAACACATCAAAAGATGATCCAACCAATTGAACGTCACAGACACAAAATTACAGTATCACATTATGCAACTATCCGATCACAACCTAATCAAACACTTCTTCCAACCCAAAACTAAGATCGAATGTCACTCCATTACAAAAGGGAGGGAAATTCTACAATGAAACTTGGATTCAATGTAAACTTGAAGAAGAAGACCTAGCATTCTGCATGAGAATAATTCGTATTCTTGGCAAAAGAACTCTCGTTCTAAACATGACAGCGAAAGAAATGCAGTGAAGCAAGAGAAATGGAAAAGGAATACGATGATGAAAAGGAAGGCGACGATGAAGCTACCTGGAGTCGACGGAGAAGAAAGCGGCAGAGACGGTGGAGATAGAGACTGAGAATCGGAGCACGAGAAGTTCGGCAATGGGTTTTCTCTTTGTTTTATTTAATTCGCATTTTATGAAGAAAATAATCATTTTTAGTTGAGTTTTTAATATAATTAGATTTTAAAATACTATATTTTTAGTTTTTATATTTAAAAATATGATATTTTTACTGTGAGTTTTAAATTTATTTTTATTTGGTCTATACATTTCAAGATTTCAGTGGAATGTTAATTTATAATCATTACTTTCAAATATTATTATTAATTATAATTAAATAAATTTCCACTAATTTTTTTTAAATAACATTAAAATTAATTTAAACCATTAATATTTTTTAGATAGGATAGCATTTTATGAATTATTTGATTGAAAAATTTGTTTAAAATGTCTAAAATCATTTAACTATGTATTTAACAAAATTATCATATATCCATATAAATAAATACGTCATTCCTTTTATTACCTTAATTACTTCATATAAATAAATACATCATTCCTTTTATTACCTTAATTAATTTTAGGTAATTAACTATTCTTTAGTTCATTAGTTAAAACTTTATTTAATTTTCAGTCTAAATGGATCTTAATAATTATTCTCAAATAAATTATTTTAATAAAATTTTATAAACTCTTGATTATAAATAATTAATACAATAATCAAGCATAATTAACTCTCTAATAAACTTTTAATTATAAATAATTACAGTTGTTACGAGTCCGGACAAAGTGGAATTGTGACACTAACACGTGTCATAATATAATAATAATAATAATAAGTAAAGGGGCATATGGAAAGAGAATTATGATTATTACCTCTGGGTGCAAAGCTTTAGTATTGTTTTATACACGCCACACTAAAATCCTTATTTTGATCCAAGATAAGTACCAAACTCATAAGCTGCAGATCAGGCTTTAACATCAAGTACAGCGGAAATGGAAATCAAATAACTTTTTCTACAAGGTGGGGGGGATCCAAATGTAGCCATGGGTTTGAACATAACCAGCTTTTTCCAGTAGCTCGTCAGCCTTGGCTGGACCTCGGCTCCCGGGTTTGTAAGGAAGCGACTTCACCTCACCGTTGTCGATTCTGTGCAGCAATGGCGTGAAGATCTCCCAGGCGGCCTGGACGACAAAACTGTTTGTGAGCATGAAGTTGACAAGAATTAGAAGATTCGTGATTCGTTAGTGCTGAAACGTTACCTTCAGCTCATCTCGACGGACGAAATGCTGCTGATCGCCCCTTATTCTGCGAGAGTGTTTAATGTCGTTAATGAATGCTACCATGTAAACGACGTGAATGCTACAGAAGATAAAGGATAGGTCTTACGTGTCGAGGATGAGACGCTCGTATGCCTCTGGAATTGTAACGCCCTGATAACGTTGGCGATATGACAAGTCTAATTCACTCTGTACAGTTGACATTTCCAGTCCAGGTTTCTTCACCTGCAAAGTCCACAGCAAAGAAGATGAGTGATAATAGAACTCATGAACCGAACCGGGTTGCCTCGTTAAGTGTTTTCAATCAAGAGAGTCGAGATATCGAGCTCTGAAACATACATAGCGTATTCATATCTTCGATTCAATTCCATTCGGATTTCTAGTTTAAGGGAATCATGAACATTGGCAATTTTCAGAAGTTAAGCCACAAATAGAACTAGTGTCAGTCAATCAGTCACCAAACAATATCTATCTCTATTAGATACTCTTTCAAGCATTATGAACATAAATGTCTAATGGTGTGACGTTAGCTTATACGAAATCTTTTTCGTACCGTAAGCTTCATGTACATAGCCTCGGAAGGTTGCAAGCGAATCACAAACTCGTTCCTCCCTTGTTTTTTACCTGCATCATGAACATTGATCAATTTCGAGCAACTAAACAAAAGCATGCTCGATCTCGATGATGTATTTTAATAATTCTACATATTCGCGACAAAACATCAAGCGCCAAGCCAATAACGCATATACCAGCGAGAAGAACTGATACGATATAGATTACGAATGACACTTTAGATTGGAGGCCTTACATCTGAAAATGTCACCAGGAACATCCTTGAACTGAACTCGAATTTCGGCTTTTCTTGAGCTCAATGCTTTTCCTGCCTTCATTATAAAAGGGACGCCTGAAAACGAATACATACGAAAGAACGACACAGTTAATTCATAGAATCCAGAGGCTAAATGTTCATAAAAAAGCCCACCTGAAAACTATGTAACTTAGCTTCGAAGAGTATTCTCTTACCTTCCCATCTTTCATTATGAATCCTTAACACCATAGTAGCAAAGGTTGGTGTGTTTGAATGATCAGGAACCGTAGGATCATCCCTGTAACCTTCATATTGCCCAAGAACTACTTCTTCATCCTTAATTGGCAGCACTGACTGAAGAACCTGTCCGAAAAAAGCCCGTGGCGACATGAGAGAGTAGAAAGAGGAGACCCAAATTCAACAGCACTCTTGAGGAACTTGAGAATTAAATATACATATACATTTTACAATATTTTATTTACATCATAAATGCGGGTTAAATATACAATAAGATTTCTTTCGATTTGAGTTCTTACCTTTACTTTCTCATCTCGGATGTGCTCGGGTTTGAGGGAAATAGGTTTTTCCATAGCAACCAAACAAAGAACCTGAGAAGGCAGCCAAAAAAAAAAATTAATTAAGAACTTCTAGAAGTGCAAAATTAGTAGATAGTTAAGTCAAAGTAATGCAACAACAAATCGAATCCTACAAATTTTAGGTCCATTGTGATAAAAAGTCCGTTTAAAAACTTTAAAGTGCTCTAGAAACCAAAAATATCTCGAGTCAAGAACAACTTCTCACCTGTAATAGATGATTTTGAATGATATCGCGAATAATCCTGCAAAATAGAACTCGAGTCGGTGACTTGTTTAGATTAATAAGCACATGTTTGGGAGTAATTTTAGCGAATATGATACGTTTATAGTGATCTATTAAAATTGATTTTCATATAATCATTGTAATATTTGGTTCTACACTTTTAAAAGCGACTTTTCTACACAATCATAAGTGATCTTGAATTGAGGGTGTGTTTAGAAATGGCTTTAGAATAAGTATTTTAAGCCTAAAGGACTACTTTTTAATTTTGTAAAAGTGTTTTACAATGCGAGAAAAAATGGATAAAAGTTTAAAATAGAGATATTCATATGATCAAAAGTAAGTCGAAAATCATACCCATATTCATCAAAATATCCACCACGCCCCTCGGTACCAAAATCCTCCCTGAACACGATCTACAAGGGAACAAAATGAAAGGGGGGAAGAAAAAACAAGCATTAGTACACAACTTTTAAAAAGTTCAACCAAGCTAGAACTTTCAAATCAATTGTACTTCAACAGCCTTGGATTTATTATAAGAGTTTTGCAGTTGTTCACATAAAGTAATGAACCATGAACTCTCACCTGTACATTATCAATGTTGTCACGGTTCCAAAGGGGCAAGAAAAAGCGGTTTGCGAAACGAAGTACCAACTGAGAATTCAAATCATGCAAGAACATACATAAGACTGTCGTTTTAAAAGTCAGAGACAACAAATAATATCTTAGTTACATCAATATTACCAGATTTTGAACCAATTCCTTCCCCAGATAGTGATCGATACGGTAAATTTGTGGTTCGTCAAATAATTCTCCAATCTGGGAACTTAACTTCTCAGCAGATGCTAAGTCCTTCCCAAAAGGTTTCTCCACGACAATCCGGGTCCATCCACCAAGATCAGCTAAATGTGGATTAAACAGCCTTTGATAATCAATATCCAGATATAAACGAACACCAACCACAAGAAAATAATCTGCACTTAAAGCTTACACTTATTCATGCAATAATGCTTGATCATCTTGCAGACAGACGGATATACCGAAGGAGGAAGTGCAAAATAGAACAGCCTGCGAGATGTTCCCTCCGCACTATTTCTGGAAACCTCATGCTCGGAGATTTCCTTATCCAACTTCTGAAAGCCCTCCGCAGAATCATACGCACCACTAACATATTTGATCTGCAAAGTTTATTGCATTTATTTAACCACGTAATTCTAGTGAGTATATTACGATACTAACGCAACAACAATGCGTAAATCGAGTAAAACTAACCAACTTCAGAAACTTGGATACTTCTTCTAACTGCACGGCGTCGGAAGTTTTTCCTTGGACAAGATACCTGCAATCATTGTTCATATTGAGCAATCCCTAACAATGGAAACCGTCGACAGAGATTCTATAAGAGGTATCAATGGAGCATAATACACTGAAGTATCAATGCAGAAATAGAATCCTTAATGACACTCGGAAGTAAAATACATAGATGCCCAGTGCACAAATGATTGATTATGAAGCTAATACACGGCGGTTGATTTCATGAAAAAATCAATGATTCCAGTAAGTTGACTCGATCAAATAAAAAACGTCATTAAGAGTAAAGATAGAGAATGTTCCATATCTCACCCACGTATGCGGTTTCTTAGATCATCATCAGAAATTTTTGACCTCGCATAACCAAAAATGTGAACTTCATTTGATTGTAGGAATCCCTAAGAGTAACCATTGATTAAAAGAAAAATACTCAGCAGTTGAATTGAATAAATCAACAGAGAAACGATTGCAAAGAGAAGACTATCTAGTAGCTAAGAACAAAACATGTCCCTCAAATTCATTCAGGTTGCCAGATGCTCTCTCAAAAACCTTTAGAACAACCAACCAACCAAACACCTAAGTTAAGCAATTCTACCCTTCAATATGAAAGGAAAATCCCAAATAAATCAATAAACCTGGGCAAAAAGGTGGAAGAGAGCTGGAAAAGTCTTCTTTTTAGCAAGATCTCCAGATGCTCCAAGAACAATGATGGAAAGACAGCCAGTTTCCTGCACATTCTCCTCTCCTGTAAAAGAGTCATTTCGGAGAGTAGATCTTTTCTCAATGTGCCACGATCCAGAATCCATCTCTTAAGCTACAGAATACATAGTTCAAAGAAACAGAGTTACAAAATGAAATAATCATAACTCAATTTTCACTACAAGATTCAACT